CTTGCAGCGCCACAATTATTGAGAGCAATCAATCAATCTACCGAGAAATCCTAATAGAACTTTGCTACTTGTATATCCCGGTTGACAGAAATGATGGCAGATAAAACTTCACTCGTTGATGCGGATTGTGGGAATAAAAAGAAAAAAGAAAGCTGAAATGTTTGTGAAACTTTCGTACGTCATCGTTTCTGTCAAAAGTAGCAAAGACTCTCCTAATAGGCATATGGGCAAGAGAGTGCAAGGTTAAGGTACATGTAGAAAATTATGAACGATATATAATGTCTTAACTATTATACAATTGAAAATCATATTTATAAGGTTAAAATAATTTCATATAATCGAAAAATTATCAAAGAGAATAACATTATCTTCATCAATTTTTTTTAAGGAGTTTAAGAAGCACAATCGGTTCCATTGATTACAAATTTAAGTACACGACATTACCGCACAATGGGAGCCATTCATAAAATTTTCATTTCCTCACACACATATCTATTGGATAAATCAGGAATCAGTATGCAATAAATACAACATTAGGGACTCCATTGTCAGAGTGAGCAAAGGTTAGGAACCCAGCCGGAATTTCCCCTAGATAATATGTGCCTGTCAAAATTTTTGGTGTCCCGGTCACAGTCACGACAAATTCTTCAGAATTTCTTATCACGTGCATCGCCTGTGACTACCGCCTTGATATCCTATTTGAATGTATAATTGCCAAGAATACTTTACGCTTAGAATATCCATCGACTCATCGCCCATTATTATCCGATCAACCAAGAACAACATAAACCTGTATTTCAGGTAACTTTTTGGAAATTGATTTTATCATATGATCTCTTAATCACCAAACGAACATAAAAATAATCTAATTTCTAGATCAATTTTTGGGGTTGATATCTCGTTTTGAGTTTTGGCTGACTTGGTTTTTTCTCAAGCTCGGATCATATGTTACATAAGATCAATCTTATTTTTTATTTTTATTTTTATTTCATTGTATTGCTTTTGTTTTCTTTTATATTTATGTTTGTTGGATGATCTGTTTCCCTCTTTTGGAAATTATAGTTTTGCGTTTTGTAATTTTTTTGGCTCCAGATTGGGGCTTTTGCTGTTATTTCACGATTTTTTATTAAAATGAAGTTACTTTGAGATTTTCTGCCTTTTATGTTGCATTTTACGGTTTTAAGGTCTTATGCCCAACGTTTAAGTTAACAGCCCTTCGTTTTAGGCTATTATTGAATGAATAGTTATCATATGAATTTTATTTTGGGGTGAGACTTCAGTTCATTCTCTGCCATAAAGAAGATAAATTCTACTTAACTGGAATGAACGTTATGCCAGATGATGTGAATAAAATTTTCAGGTTTACGTTTTATGGTGGTTGCTGGTGTTTTCCGGTGAAGACTGTGGGTTTAGGTCGTGGTTCTGTAGAAAGAAAAGGGGGCAGCGGGGTGAGAGAGTGAGAAAGCTAAAGGAAGATAGTAGAGCGTGTGTCCTCCTCCTCCTTTGGTGGGTTCGTACTCCTTTTATAGCACTTACGTGGCAAGTTTTCTTGTCAGGTCTTTTGTTTGCTGATCCTTCAACCTTTTGATGCATATGAACGGGTTGGTCTGTCACCTCTGTCATAGCCCTCCTTGATGCCCACGTCAAAGTTCACCTCTGTACATCAGTTGTGCCGTCTTTGTCCGCGGTGCCTTGCTTGAGAGTTGGACCAGCCACGAGACTCATAGCATCCAGAATTACCAGACTTATCTGAAATTGTTATATGGATCTTTTTTTTCATAAGCTCTCTATTAGGAAATCCAGTATGTAAACAAAAAGGAATAGTAGAAAAGGAGTTGAGGATCTTTCCAAAATATGAAAGAAAGAATGTCGAGGAAGTGGAACAAAGACCAAACAAGAATGTTGATTGGTATTTGACTATCTTTGTTAAGGTGAGGAGAAGGATGAGGAAGATAGCATTTCAAAGAACAGAAATGTAAAAATGTTAAGCTCGCTAGAATAATGGAAAAATGAAGAGAGAAACAAGTAACCTAAGCAACCTTTTGTTTCGGACAAAAACATCCTTCCTGCTCTGATATAGAGAAGTATTGGTATAGGATCCTGTTAATTTTACAATTTACACCTCCATGATACCATGTTATATTTCCAAATATAATCCCAATTATGCATTTTGTAAAAAAAATAAGAACAGTAATATCCAGGATACATATGTCGGAATAGCTAACTCATTTTGTTGAGAGAGCCTTAGAGATCTCTGGAACCGATTTCTCATACTCTTTATGATGTTTCTTAACAGTCTCCTCAAGTGAGTCAATAGCGCCCTCTACAGTAGATAAAGTTATCGTATGCCTTAGCACTTCATATTTACAGTGTCCTAATATATTACAAAAATGTGATCTTTAGGCAAGATCATGTATGTTCGTGTGTGCTTTGTGGATTTGTGTAGACACAAGCTATGTGCGTGGTTGCTCATGAATGTATGCCATATGCAGATATATTTGTATAAAATCACCAATTTTATACGTATCGTGTATAATCTATCTTATAACTTGTCATTTTGGAAAAATAAAGAATTGCATTGGAGCTCCCCTTGAATTTTACGAAAAGAATAAAATTTTCAATCCCTTCCTCTTATCTGTAGTGGAGAGGGGAGCATAAATATTTGGGATGTTGTGTGAAATGATCATCATATCGCTATTGCAGGAAACTAAGCCCCTGCTCGGTGTGCTTTTTTGGACAAATTTATCAGATTTTGATAGATTTGCCACAATTCTATCAGTGTAATATTAATTACCTACCATTTGAAGGTTTTAGTAGGACAAGTAGGGTAAATATTTATTTACTCCAAGTTGTCAATTTTACCCTACCAATATATTTCACATGCCACACCAAAAGTGGACGGGTGAAATAGACATTTCAACTAAAATGCCATTAATGTTGATTGAATAATGCCATCTTGCACTAGTTTAGGCGGGCACTTTTAACAACTTCAATTAAATAAATCATGTGACATTGCATTTAAGTGAATTTATCATTTAATGTAATGCATTTACGACTTAGATTAGTGCTGGACACAAATGGTGCTCAATAACATTACTCATGTTGACTTCAATATTGGTTTATTGTTAGAAATGGCCATGTTTTTGCATTTAAAAATGGGGCCCCACTTCACTATTGTGAATTATTGATTTTCCGGGATATAGCACAGCTAGACTAGCTAAATCCTGATTATCATTATCCTAAGTTCATTGTATGGACCAACACACTGAAGTCGTAGCTGGATTGGCTTAATTTGATATCCTTAGGAGAAATAATATTGTGCAGGTCATTATGGTTTACTACCCACGTAGATGGATTCCGTATTTTGTATTAACTTAAATGCTTGTTAATTTTTTTCCACAATAATTGATTGTACTGTGGGTTTTCTTAAATTTGATGTTCTTTATTTCAGTTAGATTGTGAATTGGTAGTTTTCCATTGTCACTTGCGTCATACGATCCCCCGTTCCTAATATCTTCCCTTGGTTCCACATAAACTAACGAGTAACGACCTCAATGATCGATAATGGATGGCCTCTTGGTTCAATTGTATGATCTAGTTACTTTATGATGTTTGGTAAAGGAAAACCGATAGATTCAATTGACCATATTATTGATAGAAGTGGCAGATTGATTTGTAGTTGTTATTGAGTAGACATTGAATATTATAACTTTATGTTACTTGAGGTATGTATTAGGTTTGTCGTTTGGAAGCTCGAAAAAGTCATCTAATACTCTGTTACAAGTCTTGAATGGAAAATCAAACTGAAAAAAATCCAAAATGGTTTTGAAGTTCACTTGAATTTTCTTATTTATAAAAACATTGACGTCTAGCATAATTCAAGAATGCCATTTTTTGTTCTCTGTTGTTCTATTTGTTATGTGGGACAAGAACATTGTTAAATCTTCATACTGCATTACTAATTTAAATTACTACTACTAGTAGGCTCTCGAGGGCGGATATTGAATATTTTTACTAACTACTTGTGGATGTCAGGTGAGATAACTTCTCTATTTTGGATAGACAAAGTTTAATGATGTTGTCCTGAAAGTGGAGGTACCCAAGCTGCCTCTTTGAGCAGCCTTGTTCAATACTATGCCCTTGTTTGGTGGATATTTATTTTAATCTAAGTCAAAATCAACGATTATTTTAACCACATATTTCGTGGGACTCACAACCACTCAAGGAATCATTGATAGTATTTTATTTGCTTTATATACATTATTGTCTTCTGCTCCTGTTGGTAGGCTTTGTTTGTTAATTTTTTTTTCTATATATTATGTTTTACTTGTGATGAGTTTGCCTTCTGCTAAGATTTGAAATTGATGGCTTATGGGGCAACATATCTTTCGTTCCTCCTATTGTTTTTTACCCATCATTATTTGTTGGATAAGACTTGTTAATTAAGAATATAGAAAAGAAAGGAGAGAGGGAGAGGGAGAGAAAACAAGGGAGAAAAATAGGGAGGAGAAATTTTGAGTGAGGAAATTTCAATAATTTGATAATTTCTATCATTCAACTTAATAGTCTGTCTAATACAGAACACCCTTGTCTTACTTGTACATAAAATCTCTAATGAATGAGGAAAGCTACCAAACTAATAAAAGATAAGTTTTCTAGCTTAAACTAGTAATTATGCTAAAGAAATAGTATCAATTACAAGAATATTTCTCAATATAAATCATGAGGTCTCCTACTAAAACAATTATCTAATTTGGCGAGTCTTCAAGAGAATATCTATTAGGGTATCCATAGAAAAGTCAATTTGATTGGTCTATGGTAGCATAAGGAAAATTGTAAATGCTAGCTGGAAGGTTTTTCATTTTAAGAGCCGTGCCTCAGTCAGCCGAGTCTTTTTTGCTATTAAAAAAGTCAATTTAATTGTTGATGCAGTTTAAAGAACTAAACTATCAGTTGATTGCAAGCTAATAGTGGCTATGCAACTATGAGTTTTGAATTTTATGTGTACGGAGGATGGGTTGATATGGCTATGCTATTTAACTAGAATCTTTTTCTACTTGTCTCATCATTATGACGTGCTGGAAAAAGATTGTCAATTTATGGATAACAAAGAACCTGGTAAGGAGATTTCTGAGGACATGACTCGGGAGTCGCTCATCGCCCTCTCTTACTGGGTACCCGAAACAGGACTTAATGCCGAAGACTCGCCTAAGAATTTGGACAGTGAGGAAGCTGTTCAACCTCTAGATTGTGATGTAGACGATAAATATAGGTCTAAACTGATCTCTATATCCTATTCACAATCACCAGATGGGAAGGTCCGACCAGCTTTGCCGGTGCAACTTGCGGGTTAACTTGGACTATCGTTCTACACTACAAAATTTGTAAAATTATCTTGTGGCATTGTGTGATGTGGACTTTTAGCTTATCTATGAGTTACCTGTTGAATACTTCACTTGTAATTAACTTACAATAATTTGGACACGTATATTTACAATCGTCTATGTGAAAATAGTTGTTTTTGTTGTTAGATTGATTGTCTTATTAATATCTTTTGTTGCATTTTGGATTCCATAAAATAAATTGATTGAAAACAGTTGCTTTGAAAGTTTTCAATGTTGGGCCACATCATTGGAATATTAATGGGGCCTCATTGAGATTTTTTTCCTTCTATTATATTAAACTTAAGAAGTTAAGTCCTTGTTGTAAATAGTTGTGGTTGGTTTTGTATTCTTTTGACCAAACTAGCTTTTCCAAAAGGACTGGTGAAATTAAGGGGTTGTTCTTTTTGTATTTCAATTTTGTGTTTTGAGTTTTGCATTCAATTTGAGTTTTGTGTTTTAAATGTTCATTTTGAAATTGTTGAAAATGTATTCTTTTTGACGTTTTGAAAACATCCGAAACGTTTTTTGAAAATTTTGGTTTGATTATAATTGAAAATATCAAAAACGACAAATTTGTCGTTTTTGGTTTTCTTTATAAATTTTTAACTTATTTTTAAAAACGCGTTTTCGAAAATAAAAAAGAGAACGCTTTTTCATTATTTTGGAAAATTGAAAATAGAAAACAACTTGAAAATTGTAAAGAGAATGGACTCTAAATGTTTTGCAACCATCTATTCCTATGCTAATTTTTTTGGATATGGATATCTTCGGTTGGTTTTTGTATTTTTTCATGGAGCAGGGAATTATTTCTGAACTAGTTTTAGAAGAATAGTTATATGGATTCAGTATACTCCAAAAGGTGGCTTCCCGAGCTTGACAGTGGAACTTCCGGGAGCGAACTGGTTTCTTTCTTTTCTCTTTTGGATAAGTTTGAAGCATAGTAGGCCAAATTTTTGCTGATTGAATTATTGAAATATATGATTAAATAAAATCAAGTGAGAAGTTCCTTGTGCTCTATTGACAGATAAAATGCCAAAAATACACACTTCTGCAGGATATTGAAGAAGAAAAGTTTATCTTTACATTGTCACCAAGGGCCATCCTTTTCATTTTTTATTTTTTATTTTGTGTTTTTCTTGAATTTTTTCTTCGGAGTTGGGTCTTTCATTAGATTCTTTATATCTTTGCAGATTAAACGTTGTTGTCTTTTTCTTCATATTGATGTTTGTTGATATATGGTTCTATTTCTAGATTACAATTTCTTTATATTATTTAAATTTTACAGCGACACTTGCTCCCTTCTCGAGAGAGTCATCGAATACTTGGCTTTGGATTAATTTTTTTTTTAACCCGGCTCTTCTTTTCCCATCCGTTCATAAAACATGCCTTCCTATTCTTCATCACCGGCATGCTTCCCTCAGGGCAGAGCCTTTATATACGCTCCATACAATGAATGCGACTTTAGTTTTGCTCTTAATGCTATTCAATCATTCCTATCAAGCAAGTCATTCAAATACACGAGAGACTTCTTAGCTTAATATCACTCTCAATTTTGTCTTAAGCTCCTCCTTTTAATGACCCTATCTTCTTCCACCGAGATTTCCACTTCCTATATATATCTTTTTGACTTTTTGGGTGGTTAAATTAGTGACATGAAAATACATTTATCACCTATTTGGTATCGATTAAAATCAAGATTTTAATTTAAGTCAAAATTAATAATAAATTTTAACTACATATTTTATGAAATTCACAAATTTTCAACTACACATTTCATCAAATTTTATCGAAATTTGATAAAAAAAAATTGATTTTAGTCCCCATCAAACATGGGCTTAGTGTTAAAAAGTTGCTAAAAATTGATGTCAAAGTTAACAGTTAATTTTAATCACATATTTTATGGAATCAATAAATTTTATCAATTTTTCAATTAGACATTTGCTAAAAGATTTATCAAATTTTTTGACAAACCATAATTTGTTTGGTATAACTTCTTTTTTGTGTCTTATCCTTCGCTGAATTTTTATTTAATTTCACCTACCATGATTAAAATTATTAGTTGAAATGGCTTTTCAATTGATCTAGAAGAGGCCAGACACTCCCAATAACGCTTCAGCACTGCCTTGTTTCATTGGCAGATTGTGCATGCATACGTTTCTGCACTGTGTTTCTGGGTGTGCGTTTTCTGTACTCCCACAGCCAATCTCACTTAATGTCAACAAATAATTGTGTGCGCCCATGATTGAACAAAGACAATTAATGAATTTGTTGGATCGACTTAGGATGGATTTAGTTATTGAAAATTAAATAGAGACAATTTATACATTTATTTGAACGAGATTGTATTAAAATAAGTACTAGTATGATGACTATAAACGGTATTTAACTAGTTATGATATCATTAAGAGAACGTTTTATCTGAGTACCGAACCCCCCAACACAGTCAGCCCCTAAGTTTCCCCCACCCAAAGGGTTTCCTCACCCCAAAACACTATCGTCGCTCTATTTCCACCATCCCCAACATGCCCATCGCAACCGTCCTGCACCCCTCTTTTCTTTTTTGGTTATATTGAAATTATTTTCTCCACATTTACCAGTTAAGGGATATATTGACAAAATCAGAACTTAGTTATATTAATGTGAATCACTATATTGTGTTGGTCCAGACTGGAGCGTGGTGCCTTCAATTATACTACTATCACATTTGATTAATAAATTCTTAAGTTTTGTCCAGATATCCTCGTAACCTAGTCACTAGAGTTTTGTATGCTGCATAGATTCTATTGGACAAATCAAATTCTTACACACCTTTAACATGAAATCACCCTAACAACAAAATTTGCGAATCATAGTCATAATTCTCTCGACATTCTTGCTTCCATTTCGTACACGAATAATTCAAGAGTCGGGTTTTGACTTTCGACACAACACGAACAGCATCTAAAGCTATATATCCCTTTAATTTGACAAGCATTCTATTCGAATGCCAACCGAATTCCCTAAAGCAAAAGAGAATTGGTATTTGATTCACATTCACAACACATAATAGTAGTAATAATCCAACAGTTTTAGTGGCAGACAATGAAAGTGAGTAGGAGCAAGTTCAAACGAGATTTTGGATTTCCCATGAAATAATGTCAACCTTCATACATCTATCATCGTGTATTTATGCAATATATTCAATAATTTCCTTATCTAGCAACCACAAAAATAGTACATGGAAGGTACCACAAGGAGGGCCACTATGATTCAACATATCTCAAGATGTGATTTCTCATCAAGTTTAGACATGAATAAATTAATTATTACTATTTATTTGGACAATACATTTCACACTAACAAAATTTGAACTTGTTTTTGTTGTAAATTAATAAACATTTTTTTTTCCTGATTAAAGGCAGAAGAATATATACTATAGATAATATATATGGATTGATTATGATGTGCCTGATTTACATATGAATTGATATGTTACACTAAATAAGATTCATTTCGTAGGGTCGAGTCATGTCCTATCAAAATAGATCGAGTACTCTCGTGTCAATTTTTCATTTTCAATTCATAGATCTCAGGTACTCTCCTTTGAAAATACATAATAGTTAAGTAAATCCATCTTGTTAAGGTATCTCATTTTGGACAAAAGTAAGTGTCCGTTCTCTTTGTGTTTTAAATTCATTTTGTATTTTGTATTTTAAGTGTTCATTTTGAGATTGTTGAAAATGTATTTTTTTGGCATTTTACAAAATTGTTTTGAAAACACTCAAAAAACGTTTTGAAAATTTTGGATTGATTATAACTGGAAATACCCAATACGACAAAATTTGTCGTTTTTGGTTTTCTTTGTAAATTTTTAACTTGTTTTCAAAAACATGTTTTCGACAATAGGAAAAAGAACGCGTTTTCACTGTTTGTAAAATTAAAAATAGAAAACGATTTGAAAATGGTAAAGATGAGAGACCCTAATATTTTGGAATTTACTATTTAACTTAAACTAGAGGTAGTCTTTTCTTCCATGTGAAAAGAAAAAAACCCGAATAGCCAAAGGATTCCAATTTGTTCCCAGTGAAGAGAGGATCCCTGCTATAGACTACAAGACAAAAACAATAGAAATAGGCCGGCAATTAATCTCTCTTCTATCCCATTTTTCTTATTCTATAATTATTACAATACCTATTTTTCACTACCCAATAATTCATCTCACCTTTCACCTTTTCTCCCTCTCTCTCTCTCTCCCCCCTATATAATTGTTTTAACAAGAGTTAGAAAGAGACTCTTTGAAGGATCTCTCTCTCTCTCTCTCTCTCTCTCTATATATATATATATATATATAAAATAGAGAGACATTTCAGGGAGAATTTTGAAATTTTGAGATGCAGTGGGAGTTGAGTTATTGGGGGGTGATTATGGGGTGTTTTTGTGGTTTGTTGGGAGTAATATATGTGCTTAGGAGTGTAAATTGGTGGTACTATGAGAGAAAGTTGGATGAAAACGTGAAATATAAACTGCCACCGGGTGATTTTGGTTGGCCTTTCATTGGCAACATGTGGTCCTTCCTCAGGGCTTTCAAGACCAGTAATCCTGAATCTTTCATCTCCTACTTTGTCACCAGGTTCTCTCTCTCCCTCTCTCTCAAACATAAACATAAATTAATGTGTATGTGTAAGAATATGTGTCATTACTTCATCTGTGGACGACCTGTCAACATTTTTAAAAACCTGTGAACAAGCAATCGAACTCAAGCATTTACTTTTTAGCTAAAGACCAACATCTCGAGGCTAATGTAGGATCTGCTCAAGGATCTATAGGTTTAGATAAAAGGGGGGTATTATCAAATTACAAGATTACTTAGTTATTTACTTAATCGGGGAATAGAAACACGTGAGCATGATCTTAATGGAAATCAGTTTTGAGGACGAGCACATAGCGATGTGACTTGATGGTGTGGTTGAGTTAACGTAGCATGCTTATTAGGAGTGGAAGTTGTGGTTGGGGTCAAAATTTACAATTCAATATACTGAATTCCTGTTACTCGATGGACTATATGTTAGGGTCCGTTTGATAGGTAAATATGGAAAGTAATTTCAATTACATATTAGTTGGAAAATAAAAATCCACCAAATTCATAGGAATTCGTTTTCCATGAAAACAAAGAGAATACAGTTTACAGTGGTTGTACCTTAGAATTCGATTTCTATTTTTACGTTGCAATCAAACGATCAAAATATTCTTTTTTCTCGGATGTGAAATTTTCCATGGAATTCGTTGCAATCAAACAGAGCCGTAGTGAAGGAGTAGATGAGAGTGGGGAGATAGATCATTTAGTTTTAGGATTTCACCACCTTACTAGAAAAATTTTAACAGATGTCGTGATAGAACTGTAGGTGGTAACATGTGATTGGATGAAAAAGTTAAAAACTTTCTTGTCAACTTATATGATACTTTAGCATGATTGTTAGTTTCATACCTTTTCAACATGTCTAGTAAAGGCGCATTATTTTGATTAGGCTAAGGGGGTCCATTTGCAAGATTAGATGGAATTTTCATGCCTTGATCCTTATATTTGGTCATGTGACTTGGTCATAGTTTTTGGTGAATGGTACAAAAACAGAATGACATAATTAAAAAAAGAAATATACTAAAAGCATATTTTATTAGTTCATACCTGTCCTATCCATTATATTCACTTAAGAAATGAATGGACCCCATATAAATATGAAAGAAGGGCAGGCCAATTATTGTCATTTTTCTTGGATTTGTATTCCCTTACCCATAATGATCAAATATATTTTATCAGTTTGTGTATGGGTTTTCTATGGTAAGTAGTCTCTTTCTATTGATATGTCACGTCAATACATATCACGTCTTTATCTTCAATCAAAATCGATTCTTTTGATCATTAAGTCTCGTGTACGTCTTGTTTCGTATTGTGATTTTTGATGGTAATATAAAAGACAAATTAGGATTCAACCATTACGTCTTTATCTGCAATCAAAATCGATTCTTTTTCGTAACATCTTGTTTCGTTTAGTGAACTTCGATGGTAATATAAAAGACAAATTACGATTCAACTTTTAGTTATTTTACTCAATATGCCTCTTTCCTACAAATTTTGTACATGGCCCAAAAGTATACAAACACGAGCAAGTGAAGTGTTAAGTAGGGGTGATAGGTACAAGTGACTAAACAAATTGTATGGGCCCGGCCTGTTTCAATCCATCAAGAGGCAGGTTGGGACTTCTTGATTCTCCTCACGGAACAGAGCGGCCCATCACATAATTGTTTCGGCCCCTAAGCCCGTCCCCTTGGGGGTTGCTGGTGGTCAGTGGACCTAATATTGTTTACCATTCCTTTGAAAATATATTTTTCTTTTTCTTATTTTTAACCACACATTCTTCAATTAAATAATATTACACGCAAATTCAAATTTTTTCCTTATTTTTTAACTACTTATTTTTCATCAAATTACTAGTTTAGAGGATAATGAGCATCAAACAGGGTGTTAATTTTATTTGTTTACTTTTATTTCTAGCTAGAGATGTCTTGTGACAGCACTAGCCCTGCTACAACCTGAACACATTTCCAAGCCGCGCAGGCGGGCCAGCCACGGCTCAGCCTGGTGTTTTGGGCTTTTCTGGCCTTGACTGTGTTGCCCATTTTGAGACCCCTCTTGAGCATAGCATTTCTCTAGGTTTTTCGAGGGCAGATATGGGGCAGGCTGGCCCACTTGGACCCAACATAATGCTCTCCTCTCGTAGAGATTCGGGATACTAAGTCCTCGTTTGGTCCCATTAAATTATAATTTCATTTTTTTCTTTCTTCCCATCAAATACACATTTTTCGATAAAATAATATTACACGTAAATTCAAAAGTTTTTCCTTCTTTCTTAATTGCACATTTTTAAAAATATTACTATCTTTCTCATTGTAACGTGGAATAATGGAGCCAAAAGGGTTCTAAAATGACACTATAAATGACAAAATTTACATGTAAAGATTAATAAGATCTCGTTTCCATGTTTGTTAAAATATGACACAACAACACTAACGCACAACTGTTGCAGATATGGACATACTGGATTATACAGGGTACACATGTTTGGTAGTCCTAGCATTATCGTTACCACGGCCGAAGCATGCCGGAGAGTTTTAACAGATGATGAAGCCTTCAAACCTGGTTGGCCTACTTCTACAGTGAATCTCATTGGGAAGAACTCGTTTCTCGGCATTTCTGACGAAGATCACAGGCGTCTTCGCAAATTAACAGCAGCCCCCGTGAATGGACACGAGACATTATCTATGTACATGAGCTATATCGAAGACAATGTAATAACAGCTTTGGATAAATGGGCAAACATGGGACAGATTGAATTCTTAACCGAAATTCGAAAGCTTACATTCAAGATAATTATCTACATTTTCTTGAGCTCGGAGAGTGAGCCAGTAATGGAGGCCTTGGAGAGGGAGTATACCAACCTAAATTATGGCGTTCGAGCCATGGCAATCAATATTCCTGGATTTGCTTACCACAAGGCACTTAAGGTGAGGTCTAGTTATGCTCATTTAACTACAAATTCAAGATGAAGCATGATACCATCATTTTTATGTTCTTAGAAATTGGATTTGATGTGTGCTCAAATAAGTTATTAGACCATTTCAGGCACGTAAAAAACTTGTCTCTACTCTACAATCCGTAGTAGACCAGCGACGGGAACAGAGGAGGAGTAATCAACCTATAGATAAAAAAGACATGATGGATGCTCTTATGGATGTTGAAGATGAGAATGGTAGGAGATTAAACGATGATGAAATCATTGATGTTTTGCTGATGTACCTAAATGCTGGCCATGAATCTTCGGGTCACATCACTATGTGGGCAACCCTTTTCCTACAGAAGCATCCCGATATCTTCAAAAGAGCTAAGGTATATGACCTTGATTCTATCAAGTCCTCCATTGTTACTATCGAAAGTTCTGCTAAATCAAGGCCAAGATTCGGAGAAAGGAACATTGTTTATGGTTTACCCTTTCTAACGTAGTTTTCTTGCTAATATGAATGAATGAAATCAGGCAGAGCAAGAGGAAATTGTAAGGAAAAGATCCCCTGATCAGAAGGGACTGACCCTTAAAGAAGTAAGGCAAATGGTATATCTTGATAAGGTACGTAATTTTTATAGTTTTCATCAATATTTAGCTTTTACTACACCAGATAATATCGGCACATTTGAAACACTCTATCCTCTTCAAAATCTTACAGGTAATTGACGAGACACTTCGTGTGATTACATTCTCACTTACGGTATTCAGAGAGGCAAAGAAAGATGTCAATATTTGTGGTAATTAAACTATAATCATTGCTTATTTGAATTTTCCTAGTATAACTCTGTTACATATAAGTTAGTTTTCTATTGAGCTGACTACAAAATAATTTGATAGAAAAGCAGATAGAAAATGTGCTGCAACTCTTAGAACTCAGAAATAATTTATGCAAAATAAAGATTACTTTCCAGAGTTCTAAATTGTGCTTCTTCTTTTTTTCAGGATACACCATTCCTCAGGGATGGAAAGTTTTGGTCTGGTTTAGGAGTGTTCACTTGGACCCTGAAACATACGTCGACCCAATGAAGTTTGATCCTTCGAGATGGGATGTGAGTCTCGAACCATTTCTTAAATGAAACAAGGACATATCATGCTTATACTAATTTGCACTATGTGATGTTTAATTTTACCGTTAGGGATTTACACCCAAAGCAGGAAATTTTCTTCCTTTCGGAGGTGGAAGCAGATTGTGCCCCGGAAATGATCTTGCCAAGCTCGAAATTGCTATTTTTCTTCACTATTTCCTACTTAATTACGAGTGAGATCCGATTTCTCAGCTTTTTCGTTATTATTCTTATTCAAAGAGAAAAATTAGAGGGTCTGAATAATGTCCAGCTCAAAATTATAAAGTATCTGATGATGAGTCCTTTTTGCAGGCTCGAACGTTGTAATCCTGCATGTCCATTGATGTACTTACCTCATTCCAGGCCTAAGGATAACTGCTTAGGAAGAATAAACCGAGTTTCTACTCCAAATGAATAGACGGGAGAAGAATTCACCACATTCTTTTCTTCTCTCTTTTCGTTTTACAAATAAACGTTCTACTATTAGAAGGCAATAGAGGCATTAGTTCGAGGCCCTTCATCTTTTCTTGAACCACAATTTTCCTTTTGCAATCCTTGTACTGGTATATTTAGGATAACAACAAGAGGAAAATATAAAGATCAATTTTGTCGGATTTCTTTACTCCAGAGATAATATATTATTGGAGAATGATCCTGAAGATTTTCTTTTTCTTGTATTATTATAGGCAATGGACTGCCCATAGAAAAAAGAAAGGAAGAAAAAAAGTAATTGTGGCGATGAAACCAACAACTATGGATTTATCCTTGCTAAGATGCTGCATTGCTAGTAACTTATGATTTTTGTGTGTTGATGGAACTTTATTAGACTGCACAACCATTGTTGAAAGAAAACATAGACTATATCAAGTGTAATCTGTCCGTAAATTCATTCTTGTCAAGGACATTCAATCTAATAAAGAAACCTTCTTGGCAGACGTGGACGAGGATGGTCTAAAATACTGTTTAAGTGACATTTATTGATATGTCATTTTAAATGTAGGGATACGAATTTCAATTATTCTTTAAGATTGCATGTCAATGAAGGTCCTAGATTCACAATCCTCATGAGTCTAGATAGATAGCAATATCCATTAAAATAAAAATATTTATTTATTTATCTATTTTAATTGGTCTTGAACAAAATCTCCTTCAAAATATTATTTTTGAAGCAGTATTTTTAAAATCAAATTGAGCCAAAACAATTCAAACTTAGGAGTGAGTCAAAACAATTACTCTTTAAAATGTTCTTATGAATAGGGAGGCTCTTGAAGATGCTCTAATAATGACGTGGATCATTTTGTTTTAAATGTAATTAATACTATTTTACTTGCAATTAAAACGGAATTAGTTATATACCCTTACTTTTATCGTTCCAACTCTAATAGTATTTCAACATCATTGGTGTCAAGTATCAATTTAGATAACAATTGCATAATATTAAATGATAGATTCATTTAAATGTAATGTCATATAATTCATTTAACAGAATATATCAAGTGTGATCATCTAAATTGATACTCTAACACTAATGGTGTTAGATAGCATATTCTTTCTTCAAAGTCTATGATAATATTCATAAGTGTAATTAGTTAGTACACGTAAACGTACCTTCAAATACAAAAGTGAAATTGGGCTGGGCTGTCACTTAGACCCGCTTTAGCGCTTGACCACCCCCAAAAACCGATAGTGTTTCACACCCATTTTGAAGAAGAATTTAATTTGAAATAGTGATTGATGGAAGAATATGTGCTTAAAAAGTAAGGAGAATTTTTGGGTCTATGTGTAATATTATTTTATTAATAGAATGTGTGGTTGAAATGAAGAAAGAAAAAAAATGAGGAAAAGAATGAGAAAAAATAGATGTCATACAAGGGTCAAGTTAAATGTTTCAATGCACACTCAATTTTGGCATATGTCGCAGCTTACTTACCGAACTTCACAATATTTTTCACTAGTCACTCTATAAGTTTTTGCGCTCCATCACTCACTGGATGTTTTCCGTTTGAATTTTTGTCTACGTAGATGACGGAAATCACATGTGGCAATTATCTCTGTCCAAAATTTAAGTGAATTGCCAACATGAACAACTCCTCATCAAAATCATTATTTTCAAACATAGCTCTCCTCTCCCTTTCTGAAAACCCAAAATCAGAGGGCCCAATTAAGCCCTAAGCCCCAAATCAGTCTCTAAAGGCCATCCAAATCCAAACGGTAAGAAATTGAACTTGTTGGTACTCGCGGATTCCTGAAGAAGCAAACTCAAAGCTGCATTTTCTCTAGTCGTCAATTGAAGTTCGAAAGTTAGATCGTGAAGGGCACGAACAAGACAAAGTGCGATGATCATTTTGTAGAAATGCTGAGAACCGCGGTGTGTGTAGCTAAATTGTGTAGATGGAATGAAAAAATTTTGTTACTGTCAAGATGAATTTGGTTTGTCGATATCGTTTTTTGCCTATGCTATTAATTTGTAAATGGGTATAATTTCTGTGCTAAATCTCGGTTTTGAACTGATAGATAACTTCTGAGCAGCATTAATATATCAGCAAAAATTATAGTCTTAAGAAGATTGAAGGATTGAAGCATTTACCTCTCTGTGTTGACCTGTTCCATGATCTACGCATCTTGATATACTTTGATTCTTTCGCTTTGCTCGATCTTCAATTCTCTCGTTTTATTCAACCGTGTAACCACACTGAATTCTTTCTTTTTTTGTTGCCAGATTGAAAAGTCATATTTTTCGTTAAAATTTCCAAATAAAAATTGTGAATTGTCATTTTTAAAAATCAATAAAAAAGGCACAGAATCTCAATTTATCCACACCAAGTAGACCTAAGGTTGAAAACAATATATACCGTTTTAGATTTCCAGGATTTCGTAAGATTCTCAATATTAGATCTAGAGAATGTTCAGACGGGTATGATTTATATATTCAAATGGAATTAACGGTGCAACAAAGATTTATGTCAATTAAATAGTTTCACACACAGTATATTGTAAAAATAATAATATGATTTTATCAAATGAATAATTCAATCGCGTAACAATTAAAGGCATGTAGTTCATAATTTCTAGCACCTGCAATGGTTATCCCACACGGTAACCCCATTTCTATTGTCACGCATACAATGACGTTCTAGTGTTAAAAATTAAATGAGATAAGTCAATTTATTAGAGCGGACCACGTCTGAAGGTTGGTAAAATCGAGAGATGAGAATCTGAAACTTTAGTTGCACCTCCCGTTTTCTTCCTTCTCTCCTGCCTTTGTAGTTGTGCTAATATTTTGGTGTGTGTTCTTTGTGGGCAAACCATAGCAAAGGCGATGACAGCATATATAATAGGAACATTAGGTTACAGTAATGGGTCAAGTCCAACATAGGTAAACAAATGGGCTAGGTATCACTAAGTGGGCCAACGCTTATAAGTCGTCCAAGAAAAAAGGAAATGGATCATGAGAAGGGAAAAGTTCATGGATTGTATTAAGTTTGACATTTGCAAAACTCAGGTGTTAAAATTTTAAAATTACAAAAATCAGGTTTTCACTTTTTATTAATTAATTAAATATTTAATTGTACAATTTAATCACGTATATCTTATTAATTAGTTAAAAATTAATTCAGGTCACAGCTTACCAAAAATTTATAGGTCACAGTTTTTTATGGGTCACAGATCAAAAATTTTGTAGGCTACGAATTATTTCGAGGTCACAGATCTAAAATTTTATAGGTCATGTATTTTCAAATTTGTGGGGTCACAGATTCTTTTTTTAAAGTCACAGTTTAATATCTAGGTCACGGAAACCAAAAAGAACCACCGTCGCCGTCGTTAACCCCGCCACAACAATAACAAAAAACGATGACCACCACACGGATCACCACTACCACCACATATCCATTACCACCACCCAAAACATACCACCACAAATCCACCACCTCCACACATCCCTAGAACTGGCACCAATGATCGACTAGTGGCCACTGTTTCTCTGCAAATAGCAACTGCCACATCCCAATTGCTGTATCAAATGCCAAAGACTTCTGACCCTTCTCCAAGAGGCGGACCGACGAGAAGAATACGGCAAGAAACCTGTACACGGCAAAGATGATTCAAAAATACCACAAATCGACGTCTTCTTCTCATTCTATTTTCTTCATTCCACGCCTCAACGCCTTGCTCAGAGGTGATTCAAAAATACCCCACCACACCAACTGTACACAGCAATTCACCCCACCCCACCGCAAGCACTGTGCACAGCAATCCATCGCACCTAACCACTACAGGAGTCGTCGAGCTGTCGGAGCCACCTCGTGATTGTCAGAGGTGATGGATTGATACACAGAGAGAGAGAGAGAGAGATTAGAGGCAATGTGTTGAAAGAGAGAGTTAGGCGAGAGGCGAGAGATTGAGAGAGAGAGTTGGGAGGAAATTGATTAGGTTAAGAATTTGAGTTTTAATATATTATCTGATTTTTGCAAAAATAAAATAAAAACCTGATTTTTATAATGGCAAACCTGATTTTCAAAAAAGTATACCTGATTTTTTAAAATGGCAAACTAAACCCCTGGTTTTATGTAATTTTCCCTCATGAGAAACATTAACTAAATTAGGCTGTTTCCAATTACCCACTTCATTTTGGGGTCGGGACGTCTTAATTGAGGTATCGATATTCGTTCGGTCATTTGGTCGATGCTGACTGAATAAATTTTACCAGTTTAAGATCATAGCCCCAGAAGTCGTTTGACTACAATTTGTCCTACAATTTTCATTTGCGATTCTTAGCTGATGTATCTTAATCTTTTATTTTCAGACTCAGTATATCAACTTATTTTCCATTTTTAAGCTGGGTCTTGGTCAAGATAAATTAATTTTTCCTCCACAGTTCATAAATCTAACATACTTGTTTCGGTATGGTCTGAATGTAAGAAAAGTTAGATGCTCATGCAGCCCATCCCTTTGTGTTCATTCTTGTGCTCATGCAGCCCATCCCTTTGTGTTCATTCTTGTAAATAGCTTAAATTCATAAATTATCCAGTCAACATTATCCTCTTTGCATTTTGACCCTTTTTGATTAATCGTGTATAATTAGGTTGATTCTGCTAAGGGTATCTTCTTTCTTCATTGCATTCTCTTTAGTAAGATCTTCTCACATACAGGATTTTACGTTTCTATTGCACTTACGTGTGTTTGCATCTTTCCGCTCCTTGTTTGAGAAAATGTGTTCTTTTTTCCCCAGAATCTAACATTATTTACTACTATATGTTTGTTTAGTACGAATCCAAAATTCAGCCAGAGTCAGAAGAACGAAAAGGGGCAAGTCAGAAGTGGAAGAAGATTTATACTGCATCAAGATGGCGTACTTCCATTTAGGGTTGTTCGTGGGTCGGGCCGGTTCGATTCTCTTCAAAACTTTCGGGTATTTAA